ATTCATATTTCGTATTTGAAGATTTTAATGGGTACTACAGACTATTACAAAAAATTACTTATGCAGATTCACGTTTTCGTATAGCCCCCGTATAGAGGTCATTATTTAAAGTGTATTTTTTGTTTTATTTTTAATTTTTCAAGTTGCTTACAAATGTTTGAGGGTATTAAAAGATCGGCTTTTTTACTTGCTATAAATTATAGTGTCAGAAAAAATTATTTCATAGATGTCCTAATCTCAAAAAAAAAAAATATCTCACTCAAAGTCTGTACCTGTGGTTTAATCGCTACTATTCCTCAGATGTTCTTGTCAGGCTTTAAACCGATAAGCCGTACTTGTATATGCCAACTATTTTTGTACCAATAACTTGAAATGTTGCCAAAGCATACAAATCCCTCTCGGATTCTTGGGTAAATTATCCATACACTATTTAGGGTTATTAGTGACTTTAACATGGTATAATTAAACAAGACAGCCTTATTTATGGTGGCAATCAAATGTTTACATTTTTTTTTTCAAAATTCCATCTTTGACAGCATTTTATTGTTTGAATGGTAAATTGTAAAAAAAATTATTAAATTTGACATGATAAATTACAGAAAATTCAGAAATGAATATATTTCGTATCAATAATATTCAATAATATTCAATAATAATGAAATAATTATACCATGGCATTTTACATGGATCCTATGTTTTCTGAGAAAATATAAAAAAACATCTGTTGGATTTTCATCCTCTCCTCGGATTCAGTTACTTTTGAGATTTTAAACTCCATTGATTATCTTTCTTTTTGCCAGACTATGTCTCACAAAAGAACATTTAAACAATTACAAATACTTAAAAAAACTACTTCAAATCAATTGGACATTTATTACAAAAATACCTACGAGGTGAAATGTGAAATACAAAATTTCTTCTTTGTTTTTGCTTTTGTTATTATTTACACATGCATACAAACTTACAAAATACTACAGCCTACAACTAACTACACACACACATACTTATGCCCTAAACAGAGATACAAAGATTTCATTGAAAATATTCATAGATTCTTCGATAAGTTGGCTACTTCTAAGTTGTTACTTTTGTTGTTGTTTTTACGTTACGTTACGATTACTTGACTATATTTAAAAAATAATTGGAGTCGATTTCCGGTGCTTGTTTGGTTTTTTTTTTCGTTTTTGTTCAATAAGTTTTCAATATTTCCTAGAAAATAAATTGTGTTGTTGTTTTTTGTATGCACAATGCTTAAGAGTTCTGTAGAAGAAATTGTATGTCGAGCAAGTGGCCGAGTGGGTGAGTGAGTAAGTGAGATAGTGGAGAGAGGGATTGGTGGGTGGGTAGTTGTGTAAAATTTGTTTTTGTGGTAATGGCAATGGTTGTCAAGCAGTTGTTGTAAGTTTGTTATGTAAAGGTTTTGATTTGTTACTTGTTGTTGTTGGCAGGCATTCATTAACAATTTTGTTTCTGTTTTTGTCGTTTTGTTTGGTATTTTTTAGAAAGTTGAGGCAAAAAGCTTACAAACTACTTATGCACTAGTGGGGATTTTAAAAACTACTGTTCATAAAAAAGCCTGGGACGTATTTAAGCATTACCGGAGCAGCAGGGCTCCAGTAATTTACACTTCTTAAAAAAGAAATTACTTTATGTGTACTAAGTACATGTATGTATATATATATAGATTGTTTTTTTATTTTTTGTATATTAAATATTTATTTTTTTTGTCATTTGGTTTTTGTAAGCTACCGGTTTAAATCATACTCCAATCATATGGACGAATTTTGATATAGTTTCTTAACTGCTTAAAAAAACTTTTCCCTTTTTTTGATTTTGGTTGGATTTTGATTCAGTTACAGTGACAGCTCCTCAGTCCATCCGTCAGTCGGTCGATCAGTCGAGTTACTTCTGTATCTTCAGTATTTTCATTGATTTTTCACACAGAGAGGACGCCGGAGTGAAGAGAGTTCCCATTGCGGTGCTGTTTTGCTTCTTCGAGAGGAAAAGATTCTTTTGGCATTTGTTTGTTAAAAAGGTTTATTTTTTTCTTCGTTTTCTTGTTTTTGCTTTTCTTAAGTTTCCGTAAATACACACAAAATATAGGAAATCAACACTTAGAGTTAGTAGAGTTGTAGATGAACATATAAAAATACTTTCGAAAGGCTAAAGATTAAATAAAAAAAATATTTTCCAAAAGTGTTGCCACATGTTAAGCTATTTTACACCGAATAAAAAACACTTATTTGTAGTTGTAAGTAGTAATAGTAGTAGTAGCAGCTAGTAGTGGTTCTTATCTAGATTAGCAGCTGTTCAGCCAAAGTCTATTGTTTCTGAGTGGATGCGGATGTGTGGTGAGAGGTGTTTGAAATCAAACGTGGTGTGCAATTCAAAATTAAGGAATAATGCGAATTTTCATGAATTTAACAAAAGCTAATGGCGATTATGAATAATGCTACTTCAAAGCTGTAATGCCAGTTTAAACTGCACACTGTAAGAATCCTGCATAGAAAGTTTTAAACCCATATTTTGACATAGAATAAATGTTAGAAGCTCCCTTTTTTCCAGGTTCCAGGATTCGAAACAGTAACCCTTTTAGGCCACAAGTAAATCCCGTTGAAATATCAATTATTTCAGGCCGAAAAACAAATCTGGTGGGAATGTCCAGCATATTACATAGCTACCAATTTGTGTTCTGGTATTAGTAAGTTGAATTTCAAAAATACCGTTATTGGGAATATTACTACATTTTATTAATGCTACCGAAATTTTCCTTATAAATTATTCAGTTTTTTCTCAAGCGTGGCAAAAGTCTTTCCATTAATTTTAAATTTTTTGCCAAAGTAGCTCTTCTGTTTTTTTTGCAAGTCAACACAAGTCGGCAATTGTGTCTGTCTGGCCACAACAAAAAAAAAAAACGCAGAATTCTACCTTTTTCCACCCAATTTTTCCACCCATTTGCAAGTAAAAAAGGTCCTGGCTGATAAACAGACGCCCAGACATATAACAAGACATGTGCCTCTTTGTATATGTGTGGACGTGTGTAAGCGGGTGATTGTTATAAAAGTCTGGTAGCCCCTACAATACAAAGAACAGAGAGAGGGAGAGAGAGAATGAGAAAAAAAAACGCATGTTAAGCATGACTTATTTTGACACAATTTCACGCAATGCTTGACATTCGCCGTAGAGGTTTATATGCGAATGCCATCAGCTGGCAAGGACCAAAGGAAAACAAAATAAGAATACGAAACGAGCGTACGTCAGATGAAAGGACTAAATACGGAATAAACACGAAATGCTTATTATGGCGTTTCAAGCGAACAACGACGACAATGAGACCGGCAAGGACAACAGCAGAAGCCCCGGCAGCCGCAGCGGTGGCAACAACGACAACGACAAATAATGTTTAAATAAACATTAACGTATTTTTTAATGCTCACATGCGATTTATTTAATATGTCTACAATGCACACACACACACGCATATGGAGAAGTTTACAAATAATCCTTTCGGTTGTTGTTACATTGCGACTACGCTGAACAGGCAATGGGGAATTGAGGAATATTCCCACTGCCCTTCCAGCGTATTTGCAATGTAACAGCAACCGAAAGGATATTTTTGAAACTTCTGGGTATTTTTTTCATTTTTTATGATGGGCTGAAATCAGGTGGGCTGAAATCATCGGAATATTCTTCTATTTCTCAAACTTCATGTGATTTCTCCTTATATTTTTTTTTAAATATTGACTGGGGTTTTAATATCCTTGGTAATGGAGATATATCTTAGATCAGAGAATCATGTATATCAGGGATACATTTTTCAAGAATTCGCAACCCTAAAATGTATCTGGGTCGAGGTTTCCAAATCTTTAATTATGAAAGATATATCCAATTATTGTTCGAAATTGTCATTATTAATTGTTAAAGGAATCCCAGCTAATATTTTAGTCCAAATTTGATCCAAATCTCTGCTGAATTTTCCCAATTTCTGATTCTGAATTCCTTTCGATTTCGGTACAAAAGATGTATGGACGTTGTCACTAAAATCGGAAAATTGTCCTAAATCGGTCTAATTTCCACAAGAAATCTACAGAAAACCGTAATTTTCTCAAAGACAATTAGAAATTCCGGAAAAAACATCTAAAATCTGAGTCCTCGGAAAAAAATTGGTGGAGGTGGATAACCTCGTTGTGGAGGTATATAAAGAAACATAGAATCCATCTAACTCCATCGTACAATTTCTAATATTACTTAAAATTTTAAGCAGACTTTCATATCGCTTCAGAGATATAAATTTTCCATCCGGAACAGCTTTAATTTTATTTCTTTGCTTTACCCACATCCGACACCAACTGTAACTCGCCTCACGCTTACCAAAAGAAAAATGCACACAATCACACGCTTAAGCGAGCATAAGTTTATTAAGCTTAAAGCTGCAATTTGTTGCAATTTCTTTAGAATTTATTTTCGTTGTTGATCTTCGGGGTGGGAATTATTCTTGTGTCGTGGCCCAAACCAACAACAACAAAAAAACTCTAAACCCTTTAAAGGATTGCATTTCCTTTTGTATGGCGTGCCGTTGTGTGTGCAATTGAAATATTTGAAGATTTAAGTTCCAAGGATACCCAACATACCAAAAATACAATGCAGCTTGAGAACAATATTATAAAAATATAATTTTTCAAAAATGCTTGAGAAACACTTATGTTCCACAAACATTTCTCAAATCTGTCCCTTGTTGACAAATTAGTTTTGATTTTTTGTGAAAATTGTCAGCAAGAAATTATTTTCTTTGGCAGAAAACAAAATCACGCGAATTTAGGACCCATTTCTGGACCGAACCCTTAAGGTATGCATGAATAATAAATCCGGGAATCTTTCACATAAATTATTCCAATCCCATTTCAGATTGGAAGCATCAAAAAAGTTGAAGGAATTCAATAGATGTGTAGTCTTAGTGGAAGAGATGCAGAAGTTCAAATAAGGGAGAAGAAAGCGTCAGGGTATCAAGGCCACATGAGGGAGAGACTACTGGGATGTCCATTAAGAAAAAAATGTGAAAAATGATTAAAAATTAAAAAAATAATAATATTATATACTATTACAAAAATAAGCTTATTATAATATTATTTTTGTAAGCTTATTCTACAATTTCAAGTATAAGCTTATAAATAAGGGTTCCGTTTCGATTATTCTATACTTGTTACACAAACATTTTTCAATGTTTTCTCAAGATTTTCTCAAGCTTAAGGCTTATGTTCATAAGCTTAATGTAATATTATTCTCAAGCCATTTTGGTATGTTGGGTATTTTTATCCATTCAACCACAAATCGAAGAAATGTATTTTCCAACTACCAAATGAATTGGAAACAGTGTTGCCATTTTCCATTTTTCATAGAAAATTTTAAAATTAAAATAATGTTTTCTTCCTGTACTTTTTACACCCCTTCTCCATACTGTGGAGGGTATATTAAGTTTGTCATTTTGTTTGTAATTCCTCAAAAGATGCATTTCAGACCCTACAGAATATATAAACATACAAATTCTTGACCAGCCCTGTCCCTCCGTCTGCCTGTCCGATTGTGGAAATCGAACGAAATGAGGTTGGTGGACATAATTTCAGTCAAAAGTATTTTAGTTCCGAGGAATTGTTGGTATTGAAATTGGTCCTCGTTTTGTTATGGCCCCCATATAACTGTACTGCTAGACCTTACATTTTAGTCACAATTTCAAACCTAATTCTCTGTAAATTGCTAGTTTTAATTTCGAGTATGTTCTTGCAGAACACTGCACACACAGGCCAAAGTTTTGGTATAAACCCCATATAATTGTACCTCCAGTTATTCGGAATTTTGATAATTTGATTCACACTTTTCACCAGAATCTTTTTAAATACGGTATTTGGAGGTCACACAGGTCTACGTCTCCATACAGCCCCCATACCACGGATTCCTCCTATATTCGGTAATCTAAAGATTTTAGCAACATTGTCCCTGATTTTTTTTCTTCGAAATTGGTATTTGGCGTTGATAGTAGCCACTAACTTCTCTCACAGCAAAATATCCACATTTTCGAATATCCCCCATATATCTGTACGTGACAATATTCGATATTTTGATGATTTATGTCACAATTTTGCCTAAATTGTTTTAAATTTTGTATTTGAATTTCATAATGGGTACTACTTTCAAGGACTGAACAATTACCAATACAGACCCCCATTCGCGTAGATTCTCCATATAATGGTATCTTCCGATATTTGGTATTTTAGTCACATTTCTCAACGAAATTAACCAAATTTGTATTTTCAGTTCGCAATTGGCACCGGCTTCTCAGGCAGATAATTGGCTATACAGATGCACGTTGTCTTATTGCCTCCATATTTATTTCATTATTCCATGAAAACGAAGGAGAAGCCCTACTAGAATAAGTTCTTTCCAAATAGCATAGGAGAAACTTCACTATCCACAGAATTACACTGAATTGCGATTGCTGGCTCTGCAGTTTTTTGAGAAATCTCTTCAAAATATGAGAATATGAACACCTTGCTATATAACCGACAAATGGCAGCCCGGGCTCGGAAGTGTGAAAAATGAAAGATTAAATTATTCAACCAAACCGAAAGTAAGAAAAAAATAAGCAATGAAATAAATTCAATAAAGAAAAAGTCAAGCAGGCAACTGCATATTTGTGGCTTAGCTAAAGGAGGAAAATGCTCTGATGTAGTTTTCTGACATTTCCGAAAAGTCTGTGAAATTAATTTAAAGAAATATTGGAAAGGCAAAAAATTGCTGTATCAAATTTTCAAATGCAAAGTGAGACACCAAAATATAAATTCACTCATACATATGTATCAAGAAGCTTAAAGACATGCAAGTGAGGATGACAATGATGAGGGTAATGACAATGTATGAGTATGATTGGTTCAATAGATGTGTGTAACGGCCAGGGACGTAGTCAGAGACGTGAGTCTCCCAAATGACTTCTTTTCTGCAATTTTTGAGAACCTAACTTGGAAAACTTAAGATTTTACTAATTGAGACCCCACGAAAATCCATTTCTGTGTACGTCCCTGGTATGTGCGGGTGTGTGTGTGTGTGTTTGTGTGCTAGTCCATAAGTTGCAAGTTTATGTTCAATACTATCGGCTTTCGTTTTGAAGCAATTTAGCACTTAGTCTAGCTAACGATTCATCATCACTGGTAATTGTTTTATGCTCTTAATATCCACATTTGCTTTTGTTGTTGTTGCTGTTGTTGTTGTTACTGCTGCTTCCTATTCAATATTTTAATAAACTAAGCATTTTTTATATCAATTTAGCTATCAAATGTCTAAATGGACTCTGTTGCCGTGGACATTTTGTTTTAGTTTCTAGTCTTATCAACTATTTTCGGGAGATGGCCTTAAGGAGTAGTTTTGTTTTGTTTTTTATTTTTTGATTTATTTTTCTCATTTTCTTTTCGCTTTTGCTTTTGCACACAAAATAGACATCATTCTTAGAATTATGCTAGGGTAGCTTGTTTTTGTTCTCTTTGTTATGCGTTTTAGTTAAATTTACATCGTCATTGTGTTTTTTGGTTTTTGTTGTTGCTGTTGTTGTTTTTATTTTTGTTGTAAAAGCAATAAATATGCAAAATAGAAAAATCCTATTTAAATACTATAATTACGTTGGCTTTACTGATGTATCACGACGTTTGCTACCACCACCCCCACTGCCGCAGCCGCCGCCGCTGCCACCACCACCACTTGTACAGAACACGCGACTGGCTTTGCTGGCTGGCGTTTGGGTGTGTATTAAGGACGGCCATTGACGTTTAATAACGGCAAAATGTGTCATTTGGAATGTGTTCGTCTGCTGACATCTTCGTTCAACGAATCCCGTCAGGCAGTAACCCATGTTGTAGTCCTCCATGGAGATGTTTGAACTTAAATACAATTTGAATTCGTCGTTATCCTTTGGTGCTGCTGCGGCGGATGGCGACCTCCCCGACGACGACGTTGATGATGTGGTTGAGAATGTTGACACAGCTCCCGAATTCGAGAATGCTGATGACGACGACGACGAGTCTTTGCTCCGGAAATGACCAACTATCAGCAGAGAACCTTTCTGCTCGAGCTGAACCATTTTGGCTTTGGTGACACGTCGCTGGGTGCCGGCAAACTCCTCAATTCGACACCGATTCGGCTGCCACCAGCAAGGGGTTATCGTCCAGTATGACGATGAGGCGGTGCGAGCCCATCCTTCTTCGGGATAGAGTAGAATCTGCAAAAGGCCAAAAGAAAAGAAGAAAGCAAACATTAGAGGCAAATGGAAATGGTGGAGAAGCTATCAAGGATACAGGTGATTGGCGTTGAATTCAATTTGACTTTTTGCCCTTATGTTGGTGTTTTTTTTTATACCCTCCATATATTATGGAAGGTATATTAAATTCGTCATTCCGTTTGTACATTATCGAAAAAATAATTTTAGACGTTACAAAGTGCATACATTCCTGATAAGCGTAAAATTCTAAGATGATTTAGCCCTGTCGGTCCGTCTGTCAGTCCGTCTGTTGTAATCACGCTAGAGTCGAAGCGAATAAAGATACGAATCTAATTTTTGTGTGCAGGCAGGTAAAGTTGGAAGATGGGCTATATCGGTCCACGATATCAAATGGTATTTTGACGATTTTAGGGTCATTATTCACCGGAGTTGTTTCAAACTTCGCAATTAGAGTTGGTATAGGGTACTACAGCCTTTGACAAAAAAATTGGGTATGCACGCCCATGTCTTCGAATAGCCTCTATATAACGGTATCTCCCAATATTCGGTATTTTAATGATTTTAACGACATTATTCACCGGAATTGATTCAAATTTCTCATTTGAAGATCTTAATGGGTGCTACAGTCTATGACAAAAATTTTCGTCTGCAAGCCCACGTCTTCATATAGCCTCCATATATCAGTACCTCCGTATATTCTGTGTTTTGACGATTTTAAGTACAATATTCACCGAAATTGTTTGAAATTTCGTATTTGAAGTTCCTAATAGGTACTACAGCATGTGACAGAAATATGTCTATGCAGGTCCAGGTCTTCGTATAGGCCCCATACATCAGTACATCCCTATATTCGGTATTTTGACAATTTTAGGTACAATATTTTTGTTCAAGTTTCGTATTTGAATATTGTAATGACATATGACTATGCAGGTTCACGACTTCTCAATATATCGGCTATATTCTGTATTTTTAAGATTTTATTTATTATTAATATTATTATTATTATTATTATTGTTATTATTATTATTATTATTATTATTATTATTATTATTATTATTATTATTATTACTATTATTATTATTATTATTATTATTATTATTATTATTATTATTATTATTATTATTATTATTATTATTATTATTATTATTATTATTATTATTATTATTATTATTATTATTATTATTATTATTATTATTATTATTATTATTATTATTATTATTATTATTATTATTATTATTATTATTATTATTATTATATTATTATTATTATATTATTATTATTATTATATTATTATTATTATTATTATTATTATATTATTATTATTATTATTATTATTATTATTATTATATTATTATTATTATTATTATTATTATTATTATTATTATTATTATTATTATTATTATTATTATTATTATTATTATTATTATTATTATTATTATTATTATTATTATTATTATTATATTATTATTATTATTATTATTATTATTATTATTATTATTATTATTATTATTATTATTATTATTATTATTATTATTATTATTATTATTATTATTGTCGTTATAGGCAATTAAAAAATAAATTTAAATTGAAATAGGGGACAAAGTAAAAATTAGAAAAACAAAACATTTCTATATTTTTCAATTTCCATAACCTCCATGAAGGGAGAAATGATTTCAAATGATCAAATTTGCCCTCAAATATTTAAAATTTCATATAATTTTTCGAACAGTTCTTTTATTATTAAAAACTCCATTGCAATTTTTGCCTTCTTTGTGCATTCAAGAATAGTTTATGAATATTTAAATGAATCCAAAATGATAATCATATTTTCGTTTTCCAGCTTCTCTTACTATCCCCCCACCTCGTTGCTCCTTTGCGGAAACTTATTTCCCTTTGTTGCCGATTCTTTGTACTCGAAAATTTCTTTAATTGCCATTTCAATAATTTTATGCGAACATTTGCAGTTTAATGGCAATTATTTTGTTCTCCTTTTTTTCTTTGCTTTTCGTCTGATTTTTGAAAGGATAAAGTTTGCTCTTCACTTTCATCATCTTCTTAAAATGTTGTTACATTCGTTTGCTGACCAGCAATGCAAACATGTCGAAGTGCAAGACGGAGGGTGAAGAGCGGCGCTGGGGGATTGAAGATTGGTTTGTAATCGATATCGAGATGATGGGATATGCATTCTTTCCGATTTCCACTCTTTGGCAAATTGCATTAAAAACTTTTCTTCTTTTTGTGGTGTTGGAAATTTACTTCGTTAAATTGGAAATTGGAACAAATTTACTGCAAGGAATTGTGGATGTGGGGGAAAAATAAAAATATTTCAATACACCAATCTACAAAATTCTTTCAAAAACCAAATAATCGTTAACATGCCAATCTCCTGTTATAAATTTGCCAAATGCCCTCCATTTTAATTCCCAGTGGCTTATTAAAATTTTTAACAATTTATAACTGTGATTATAATTTCTTAAATTTTTGGATTTTTAATTGGTTTTTAAACATCCCGGCTGCCTGGCAATAATTCCCAGCCCACACTCTGCTCGGTTTTCAAGTAGGCGACCATAATTGATGGTTATGACATTTCGAACCATACTTAATAAACCGCAAAAAGAAGTTATTTAAAAAAGCCGCCTTTGTGTGTATGTGTGTGTGTCTGAGTCCTGTGTCCGCACGAGTGTGCGTTTGTGTACGTTTTTATGAGTGTTTTTGAAATTGTTGTAGCAACAGCAACAACAAAAACAACGGCAGCGACCATAACAAAAGCTATCAAACGCACATAATAATGATAAAAATGTGTAATTATGGCAAAACCCCCAAAACCATTATTCATAACATTTCGATTTTGAAGTGGGTTTGAATTTATTTCCTCTTACGTAGAAAGGGTTTTGGGTTTTTGGGGTGATGGAATTTGGGGAATTTTTTTTATTTATTTATTTTAATGGCATTAACAATCCTGCACCATCCTTTATGATCCCAAACTATTCCCAGCCTGCAATTAATAAAAAATTGTGTGTAGCATTGTAAAATATTGATATCCGATATGCAGTCTCTCTCTGGTGTATTCTTGCATGGTCCAGGAAAACACTGTGGACATCTTAAAAAATTAAAATGCCTTTCAAAATGGTTATCCTTGTACCAACAATTTCCCATCACCCCAAACAGTATCCCCCTGCTCAACAAAACCGCATCAATGATTCACTGTGGCGGCCTCAATGTGCCTCTACCAGACATATAACAGCATTAATTTGTTCCACAACGCCATAAATTTCATTTGAATTGCTATCGCATTACAAAGTGTCCTTTGGCAGGATAAAATAACATCAAATAAAATAAATAAAAATTAACATTCGACCGCAAAATGCCAAAAACAAAAACAAACCAAAAACAAAAAAAAGGAAACACGCAATGCAAAACTCCAACACCAACACCAACAACGGAAATCACAACCGAATAAATGCCACAATATCTGTTTTATGGACATTTTCAAGGTTCGGTAACAAAATGTGGTTATGGCCAAATGATATCGTCACCATTCGAAATTGTGACCATTTCGGTCAAATGAATGATTGGAAACGCATGGAAATCCGTGTATTTAGGTTCAAAGGTGAGGTTCAAGTAAAAAAAAGACAGAAAAGAATAAATAAAGCGAGAATATTGAAAATGTGCGTGAGTTATTAGTTTGATAAGAGATAATGTGTGTCTCCAAACAAAAGAAATGCCACAACACAACATGATTTCAATGAGGGATGTAAATAAAACGAAAAATCAAAATTTTGAATAATTACAACTCTTATGAAATCTGATGTAAGGGTCCGATTGTCTTCAAATTACACTCTTCGCAATATTTTTATTAACCCAAGGTCTTGTGTGAAGATGGAAGGAATCGGCCCACTCCTTCTGATACCACCCTCAAACGATTATAAAATCCGAAATAAGCATCCGGTTCTCTTCATATTTCACACATTATTATTTATACTAACACAAGATCTGCTGTGAAGATGGGACATATCGGTCCACTCCTTCTCGTACTCCCCCACAGAGGGTCAAAATTTTGAATACCTACGAAGCTCATAAAAAGCGATACTACGTCTCAATATTTCCGCCAACACAAGATCTGATATTAATGTTGGATTACATCACATTTGTATCTTATAAAGCGAGTTTTCCAGATGTATGGGGACCTTTTCACATCGTAATTATATTTTTTGTGAGTATTTAGACAATATCGGTATCCTTTGCCAGATAACTTTCTGTTTCCCACTCTATAGGGATTATATGTATTGCACTCCGATTAATGTTTCAGACTTCAGTTTGTTTGAACGATAATGATGTTAAGACAGCTACATCATATCCAGGTATATCAGAGAAAAAATTTTTATGGCAATTTCCGATTCGGACTTGAATTTACTCCTCGTGAAAAATCTTTCGAACCACTTTCAAAGGTATGGACTAATTGGAGCTTTTTTTAATCGACCTTAATTGTTTAATAATGAGATCTCTTGTGGGGTATTAACTGACATGCGACCACACCAACACATTCAAACCCTGCATACCCAACAACAAATACGAACTTTCATTCAGTCAATATTTTCAAAAATATGCTGATAATGTTTTCAGGCAGTTACAATTGCAGATACTTAAAAAACAATAAATATGTCGCTCGTAATAAAATGTTTTAATTAAAAACTGCAATGGCCAGAACGACGACGACATAACGACGAACACGTGAAACATGCGCCACAAATAATAAGGCCAACTTAAATAATTAGCAGGACAATGACAAAAACAACAACAGCACCAACACCAACACCAACAAAACGGGAAATGACAAACATTTAATTGTAAATTGAATTTAATAAAATTTCGATTTCAGGGTGGGAAATAATTCTCCTGAATTTTATGATGCTCGACTAATTGGAACGTGGACAAAAGCGGACCAGAAACATAATTATACATTTAAACAAATGATTGGCCATAATGAGAGGTATTAACTT